AAACCAAGACAGGAACTAATCCAAAGTCACCTCGGGTAACACCTCACATCTCCCTTGGGAAGGCTACAAGTTCCCTGATGCCCTTAAACCTCGGGTCCGACACCACCTGGTACCTACACACACTTCTTTGGTGCAGGCAGCTGAGGTCGCAATAGAGTTGGCAAAACCATGCTCCAGTCTCTGCCGAAATCAGCTGTGGTTTGTTTAATTTCCTGAATAAAAAATACTTCTTTTGGCCTTATCTGGATTGAAAAGACGATTCAAAGGTTATAAATAGCAGTGGTAGCATATGCTAAGGAGCTGCGTTTCAGAAGTAAATATCATCATCGTTTTAATGCACATTTCCCCTCGTCATCTCTCCCGCCTCCTCCTGTCTGGCCAAAAGCATTGCCAGGTGACTTGCACACCCTGCACCCCTTAAGACTTTCATTCTTCTTTACATCTTTAAGCAGCCAGTAATTAATATCTGCATGACGGCTTTGCCTGCCTAATTATCTTTTTTGCTCAAAATAAGAGTCTTCCTAAATAACTTCTGTGGCGTTGCTTGCAGCAGGCGTCACGAGCAGCCGTGTACCAGGACAGGCCTCTCAGCTGTAGTTTAGAGAAGTTGTTTTTATGCTGCTGCAGCTTGGGAGCTCGCGAGCCTGCTCCTCCCATGAATAAAGCTGGGCGCGCTATAAAATTGGCTCGGTTTGTATATATATAAACAGCCCCGGAGCACTGGCAGGAACAGTATGGGGCAGCTCTTCCAGAAACACCAGCTCCTGCTGCATCCCCCTGCTCTCGGGCTGCCTTCCCATCCGAAAACCCAGAACCAAACCCATACAGAGGAGGGAGGAAATTCCAGCACTGGCTGCTGCCTCGTTCCAAAGCCAAACAGCAGCTTAGGGGAACAGAGTATTTCTTCAAGGGCTAGAAACTTCCTTGCACATTACAGGAGAGGATGGCTGTTCCCTCCAGTGCTGTCCCCCGGTGAGAGGAGCCACAGCAGCGCTCCCTCAGAGGGACCATGTTTTTCTACCTCTGAGCTGCTTGTGCAGAGATCTGAGAGACCTTTAAAAATCTGTCCGGTACAAATTCACGCTGGTGCTGTGGATATAAAAGCACAGCCACTGGAGGGGCAGCGATTTGCATGCAATCAGGGGAGATGGGAGGTGAGACCCAGCTCCTCACAGGTGGCACATTGCCATCTAGCTGGCATTTGCTTATTTTCCTGGCGAAACAAGTTCCCCTGGCAGTGTGCTGCCTGACGGGGTGGGAAGCATCCCTGTGGCTGGGGACCCCAGGGGCTGGGGCACTGCTGCTGTCACGGGGCAACAGCCAGGGGAACCAAAGATGAGGGGAACCAAAGATGAGGTGAGAGCCAGGTGTCCTGAGGCAGTAGGAGTGAATCGCCCTCTTCCCAGCCCCAAATCCCGGCTGATCCTCTCAGCTCACGGCAAATGCTAGTGCTGGTCCAACGGCACCAAGCCATCCTTCTGCAGGGTTTGCACCAAACACGCATTTCCCCACCTCCGCTGCCTCATTCCCCCTCCTCAGCAGCTCCACTGGGGACAAACCCGCTGTGGGAAGAGTCCTGCTCTGTACAGCTTGGGCTCCAGTCCTGGAGCATCTCTGCAGACTGGCGACAGAGGAGGCACAGGGCAGTGACGTGTCCCTCTCCCAAGGTCCACCCAAAAGCCCTTGGATGGTGGAGGGTACCGACCATGACCCTGCAAATCCTCACAGCAGTGCTGCTAGCGGTTGTGATGGGAAAGGCCAGCTCCGTGCGATTCCCAGTGCTCCCAGGGCCAGCCCCGACATCACCACTCATTATCTGCTCTGTCAGCTCCCCACTACTCGCTGCATTCAACAGGCTGCTTACAGCTGCTCCGCAGGGACCACGCTTGTTTTCCTCAGCACCTCCACAGTTCCCCTGAGCACTGCACTCCCCGGCTCCGCAAGGCTGCAGTGCGGTGCCCCGAACCTCTGGCCTCAGCCCCATGTGCCCCAGAGCCACCATCTCAAGCCTCTGCATCAGCCTCCAGTGACCAGTGCCATCTGCCCATGGCAGTGGGTCCCCTCCCACCCCACTGCACCTCGGCCGGGTCCCTGCCCGGCTCTGGAGGGATCCCACCTGCCTCCTGCAGCCCTGCGATTTTTGGCTTTCCAAAGCATCAGACACATGCATGCACACACACATGCCCCTGCTCCCTGCAGATGCCAAACCTCTGAGTCAGGCCGCCCCGCTTGGATGGGAGCAGACGCTGATGTTTCTCCCAGGGCTGCGCTGGGGCTGCCCCTGTCACAGGGAGAGGCCGTCTGGAGGAGGGGAGCTCCTGCCAGCTCTGCAGACACCTCCCAGGATTGCTGGTGGGGTCAGGAATACCACTCAGCAAATGATTAAGAAATACGGTGCAGGGAGCCAGCCCAGGCAAGCTGCAGCAGGGCAGCTCCGGTCCAGCCCCTGCCCGATGCCACCCTGCAGTGCTGCGGTGGCTGAGGAATGCAGTCCCGTCACCCATCAGCCTGGTGCTGCTGGAAACCCAGAAACACCAGGCTGGAAAAGGAACCCTGGGCAGGAACGAGCGTAGGGGAAATCCAGCCAAATGCTGCATTTCCCCAGGCAGGGGCAGCTCTACTCCTCCCACCCTGTCAGCCAGCACCACTGCTTCAGTGTTGGAGGAAGGAAACCCCCGGGCAGGTGGGACAAATAGGAAGGAGCCATCCTCTTCTCCTCCCAATGGATCCCGCTACAGCAAAATCCCTCTCCCTGTACCTCTCCAGGGGCTGTGCTGGGAATATCTTTGGGGAGCGAGGCAAGATGAACCCTTGCCCAGCAAGCCCTTGACTCATGGGCACTGCACCCAGACTCCAACACCACCATCCTGAGACACTTCAATCAACTCCCCAAACCCCCTATGTCGCCGCAGGGAACTGACACCACCTAACCCCTGACGCTGTCCTGCCATACAGACAGAGACAGGTTCCCCAGGGGAAATTTAGTGCAGGTGACTAATGCAGCAGCCCTGAATCACCCACCAGGGACGTGGGGGAGCTGAAAGACACTCCCCAACGTAGCCGATGGCTCAAGTCAGGCTGTACAAATCCCCTCCCAGCTCCCCGCCTGGGAAATGGGGCCAGCGAGTCCTCGTCTGGATTTGTGGTTTGGCTGCTAAACATGGAGGAGTGACAGTCTCATCCCGCGCACTTATGCCAACCAGTGCCCTGAGAGCAGCTGAGACCGTCCCGGGCTGTCCCCAGAGATGTGACACCAGCAGTCCCACCTCCCCACTCTGCTCCTGGCACCACTGTGCCTTTGCCAGCAGAAACCCCGCCACATCTGGCAAAACAGCCTCAGCAGTTTGCCTGACACCTGTTACGCTGCAAGAAACACTCTTCCTAACGCCAGCCGGGGCGAGACAAACACCCGCCGGCCCCTGGCACCAAGCCGAGCCGCTTCCAGCATCGCTGGCGGGGCTAAATGCAGAAGGCAGCACCCTGGGCAATTTCCCCACGAGTCACCCAGTGAAAGCACTGTGCCCCACAGCCCCAAGCGCTTCGGCTGCCATGCACACCTCTACCCCGAAGCCCAGCTGTTCCCATTTCTATTGCTGGGATGAGCAAAAATGATCTAATAATTAGAGCAGCAAATAACCTAAATCCAGTTAAAGTCACTGTTAACTGCCCAGCTGGGACAAACACAGCTTAGCAGAGATGTTCTCCCTGGGAGCGCAGCAGCTCTCACCTCCTCCAGAGAGAGTGTGACCCCAACACTGGGATGGGGAGGGAGGGAGCGTCAATCTGGGCTTGCACCCAGAGCCCCAGCCTCTCCCAGTGCGGTAGCTGGTGGTCAGCAGGCAGAGGGGGGCATAGGGATGGCCGTGCCGCCTTGCAGCAAGCACAGCCCTTTGAGGAGCTCTCCCTGGGGTCAAGCTCCAGGGTCTGGCACAGCTGGCAGCACCCCAGGCCAGCCCAGCGCCTGGCAGCGAGGGAGCGATACTGTGGCAGGGCTGTGACATTTTGCACAGGGAAAGCCACCGCCTGCCCGGCGCTGGGCCGTAAACAGCTCAGCGTTGTGGGAGCTCAGCCTCCCCCTTCCCCCAGGACAAGCACGCAGCACCACTCAGCAGCACTGACTCCCTTCCTCGGCATCTGCCGGCTTCAAACTTTGTGCTCAGCCCCTTGCAGGATCTGGCCCCGAAAGGCTGGGCTGAATCGAGACCTTGGGTTTTAACCGACCTCAAGGAAAGCAGCCCTAACCCAGCCACGGTGGCTGGCAGAGCCAGACAGCAGCTGCTTTGCAGCCTGCCAGCTCCACTGAGCTGGCTGGGAAGGACGTTTTGGGTGGGGAGGGGTTAAACCTCACTGCAAACACCTGCATCTACCAGATCTGAAGCCTTCTGTTCAAAAGCTCCCCCCCTACCCAGGTCTCAAATCTCACACGGGGCTTTGTCTACAGCTGGAGGGTGAGGAATGACACTGCCGGAGTTTGCCGAGGGAGAGGGCAGAGATTTCCCGGGCGAATGTCATTCTGAACAAATCTCCCCAATCTAGCGCTGGGCAATGCTGGAGCATATCGCCAGCTAATCAGCAGGGTGGCTGGAGCGGGCTGCACCACCAAGATGGATTAACCAAAGGGTCTCAGCCCAGCTGGCAGCCTTCAGAGGCAAGGAGCCGAGCAGGGACGAGGCAGAGAAGTGTATCAACCACAACGGCAAAGCACAGCAACTGGTGGCTCTTGGGAGACTTCTCTAGTTTGGGTTCACCGGCCAGCCTGGCTGCAGCAGGGACACTCCCAGAGCCTCCCTCCACCCAGGGGCCGCGCCAGAGCAGTGCTGTGACAGCTTCCCTGGCTACAGGCGAGGGCTTGTCACTGCTGCAATGCAATCCCAGGGATGGACAGCATGGCCGGCATCCGGGAAGGGCACACGGCTCGGGCTGCAAGATGGGGGACGCATCCTAAGACCCACCCTTGCCCTCAGCACCCGTCAAACTCCCATGGAAACTTAGGAACTCACTGCAGTCGTCAGACTCGTAGCCCTCAGGATCCACCACCTCCTCAGGTGCTTGGTACTTGGCTGGCTGCTCAGTGGGTGTTGTGCCATATGCCCCGAAAAGCTGGTCCACGTCCTCATCCTCTTCACGGGGGGCTTCGGCAGGGCTGACGGAGGGCTGGCTGACAGCGGAGCGCAGGGTGCTGCTGCGGCCGACGGCGGCGGGGAGCCCGCGGGGGAAGCGGGGGAAGTAGTCGGAGATCTGCTTGATGGGTTTGATGGGGCCGGGGCAGACATCAATAGCCATGTGCTCCTGGATACTTATGGTCATTTTCTCTCCTTTTCGGAGTGTCATGCATGCGGCTGTCGGCGCCAAGCCCTCCCGGAGAAGCCCGGACCGTGCGTGAGCGAGCCGTGAAGTTTCTGCCGGGTGAAGCCGAGGCCGGCAAGGTGGGAGGCTCCGGCGGGCACCTTACGTGGTTCTCGCACCCTGAGCCTCAGACGCCGCACGCATGCTGCTGCCGCCAGCTCTGGCTCTCGCACAGCCCCTGATCCTGCCAGCGCTGCCTGTGAATAAGTGAGCGAGACGGAGAGACGGATAAGAGGCAGGGGGTGGGCTCTCGGGTGATGTCACCAGCTAGCAACAAAGCGGTACCCAGCAGCGGAGGAATGAGGGCTGTGGCCGCCCCGGCCACACGGCCACCAGCGTGGGCAGCCAGCCCCCCGCCCCTTCCCCAGCAAAGCCCTACCCTGCCTGGGGGGAGCAAAGCAGAAGTTAGGTCGAAGCCCACCTCCCCACACCCGTTCACCCCAACTCCCTGCCCAAGCGGGCTCAGCCCCTGCCAGACCCCTCCGGAGGGGGGAAGATCACTGCGTGGGGTCAGGAGCTGCTGTCCTGTTGCATCGCATCCTCGGCACGCTGCAGAGAGGGAAGCAGGGCTGCCCCAGCCCCCGGGGATCATGGCAGCCCCTGGTGCCCTCCCGGCTCACTGCGGGGCTGTGCCAGGGATGTGCTTTGATGCATACTGAGCAGGGGCACGGGTGGCACGCTGCCCATTCCCAGCACCAGCCGCACCACTGCTCACAGGGGCAGCCCAGATTTGGCACCCTGCTGCTGTAGGTGGCCCCAGCCCACAGCGATGCCCCCTCCAGAATTCAGCACCAGCCGGGTGGGCTGGGCAAGCTGCCCGCAGCCTCTGGGGCTGGGAACACACCAGGGACTAAAGCAACACATGGCACTTGCTCAGAGCCCGGCCGGGGCCGGCACAGCTTCTCCCAGCCGGCTTGTGGCTGCCGGCATAGAGCATCGCAGAGGAGTGAGCAATGGGCTGGGCCATGGCCCACAGCCAGCACAGCCATGCTTGGCACTCTTCTGGCAACCTTTCCAGGGAGGGACAGGACCCTGTTACCAGCTGGGAAGCGGACAGGCTCCCTGCAGCCTGCCACGGGCTCCCTGGTAAATGCTGAGCTGTGCTTTGCTCAGGGACTTGGTCTCAAATCAGTGTTTTTACCTAATCTCCTCCTGTGTTAAAATCAGTAAGTCTGTGGTGCCACAAGCTACTGGAATTGGACTTTTGAGTGAGGAGTGCCAGAAGAGAAATGCTGTGAGAAAATGGTACAAAATACTGCATAGAAAGTCACTCTGTCCAGGAGAACGTGTCTGAAGTATTTTGTAAGGGCAACTCCCCCAGGGCAGACTTTCTGCTGGCTCAGGTATGGTGGGTCTGGCAAGAAGCTGGGACAGACTGTGCGCACTGGTCACCCACCACGATGTCAAGCTGATCACAGCCGGTACCGCCAGGTAACCTGACAACACACAGATCCCGTATCAATGCACAGAGAACTGCAGTCTCCTGCAGGCTGGTTATGCAGATGCCTATTAAAAATAAAGCTCCATTCTTTGGAGAATTTTCCCCCAAACCCAGCAAAATGACACCCAACCTTTTTGTCTAATAAAGAATTCAGTTTTCATTCAGATTTTGGTAAATGTTAATGAACGTCCCTGACTCATAACATACTGACACTAGGCAAACTAACCTAATTTACTTCTCGCTGGGAAGCAAACATTTCTCTCCTGAAGCATCCAAACTTGTCATCGCTCTCTACCTAGACATGATGCACACGGATGCTCTAATGACCTGCGAGAACAGGAGACCGCTCAGCTGCTCCTTCCTCCCTCTGCCGTATTTTCACTTCTAGGCAGCTCCCGCTTATTGCACAGAGGTGATCTGTGCTACTCTGCCAGGAGACAAACTGCTCCCTTGCAGCAAGGTCCAGCAGTGGATCCAGACTGAGACAGTTTAAGCCCCTTCCCACACCCAAGGACTTCTAGTATTTTGATTCAGATGGAAATGCCACCTGCTTTGCACTCATGTGGTCGAGGCTGTAAACCTCGCGGGTGGCAAGAGAACGGGTGGGAACGTCATGGGAGGCATAAAGAGCTGCCTCCGGGCTTGGAGCAGCCTGGATGTGCTCATCCATACAGGCTCCATCTTTGGGTGCAGCATCCAGGATGCAGTGCGGACTCAAACAGAACGAAGCAAAAATTGGGCCTGATGCCCAGAAAATAGCAGCAGTTCCCTCCAAGAAAGGGCAAATAAATAAATAAATAAAATTAAGTTATGTATGAGAGCCTAATGTCATTATTGCCATTACAAAAGTATCATTATTTCAAATGTTGCCTCAAAGAGCACAAGAGCCAAATAGACAAGGATTGTTTCACAGGTCAGAAAATCAAGGCTGTGGGAATTAAGGTGAGCTCCCTGAGCTTTGCCTCCTCCCACACTGTGCAGCACCCCAAAGGCTGCTCCACATTGCTGACACCCCACAGCCAGGATCAAGGCCCAGCAGGACCTACAAGAGATGCCGATGGGAGATGCTCAGCTCGCCCGAGGATGCAGAGAGCAATCGGTGACACAGAGGGCAGGGTGCACCTGGGGACCAGATTAATGGAAAAGCAAAGACAGAGCTGAAGCAAGCAAACCACGCTGCTGTCAGGGCAGGACTGGCCCCCAAGGGAAACCCTGTCCCCAAACCTTATAGACTGAAAGAAACAAAAACAAGACTTACTGCTAATAGCCCAGATGGGACTTTCTAGTCTCTGACCGATCCCAAGCCTGCTGAAAGCAGCTGGAGCCTTTCCTCAGCTTTTAATGAGTCCCAAAGCAGCTTGGTTTTGAAAAACTACACTTTTCCTACCATCTCACACTGCCTGAATGTTTCCTCCTGGGCTGCACAGCCCAATATTTACTGAGGGCTCCCTGAACGTGGCTGGGGCTGGCTGCACAACCAGGCACCAAGCACTGGCATACATGACGCATGACAACACAGAAGGTAAAAGGGACAAAAATAGAGAGTCGGGCTGGGAGACAAAAGCAGGGCTTGGAGATACAAAGCCAGTTTCCAGGTAAAGCTTTTAATTCCCACCGTCTGTCTAATGCCCTGGAATGTGACTTGATTTGATCCCTCGCTCTGCCAGGGTGATTCAAAGCTCCTGCAGTGCCCACGCACGTGGCCTTCATTTCCCTGAAAGGGGGAACGCTGGCTTCCTCGCCAGCCCGGCAAGAGGGGTGACAGTTTAAACATCACGTGGCTGCTTTCAGCAGTGGGACCAACAGCTTTGCCTGGCAGGGAGCAGAGCTGCTCTGCAGGGGGATACTACATCCCTGGAGGAGGGGAGGACATCCTTTAGAGAAGGTGAAGATGGCCATCACAAAGTAAACATCAAAGCAGGAAAGGGATGATGGAGAAGAGCACATCGTCCCTGTCAACAGCTGTGTTTCCTCTCCGTGGTGCGTGCAAGTCGTGACAACATCCTGATCTTAGCACACGTGACACTGCACTCCAGCAGCTTGCTGAGGTGCAACGGAGCGGCTCAGCTGCTCACATCAGAGGAGGGCATGGGCTAGTATGCCAAAAGCATCCCATAATGACAGCTGGGATGTGGGATGCAGGAGCCATCACAGCTTAGACTTTAAGTGTTGTCCTGAACAAGGGGCATAAGCAGAGACTTAAGCATATCCCAAACAGAGCCTGTGCCTCTAACTCACCCCGTACCCTGAGCAGAGCCATGCAGCAGCCCAGTTTCCTTATGGGACCGGGGAGCCGTCCTGCTGGTGCTGTGCAAACAGGTGAACAGAAGGAGCATTCCTACAGCAAACAAAACAGGAGCATGTAAATTAAACACGCATCCAAAAATACAGGCTGTCCTCAGGACACACTTCAACCAAATTTGTTTCAAACACTAAGCATTAAATTCTGCTGTCAGTTATTCCAGGTTTAAATCGACAAGAACAAGGGCAAATTCCAGTTTAATCAATTCCCTTCCAAATGAAAAGTACAGCAGCAGGACTGCACATCCCCATGGCTTACCAGAGATTCAATGACTGACCCATTGGTTCTTTATTTAATACTTTGTCAGCTCAAACCCAAACGATGTCACAGAAACCCTCTGCTCTGCCAGTGCTGCTGGAGAAGACATGAGCCTGAAGAGTGCAGGAAGAGCTGATGCCAAATGAAAGGCTCCATTTGGAGGAACTACCTCTGGATCTCATGCACCCTTGAGCTCAGGGGGACCCAGCGCAGGTTGGGAGCAGGGAGGTTTGACAGCCACCCAGGGAGGTGACACAAGGCAGCACTAGCACCAGCCTGCACAGCCCTAGCTTTCTTTTTGCTTTTTTCCCCGTGACTGTTAAGCCTGCGTTAAGCCACAGCAGGTACCCACAGCCTTAGGCATGAGAGGGTGCCAGGAGGCAATGCCAGCTCAACCTGGCTGCAGGGGCAGGAACAGGGGATACCCAAACTGCCAGCTCAGCTCTGCCAACACTGCTGGAAGAGACCCCTCCATCCCTTTGGGATGACTCGGGACCTACATTGCCTTCAGTCCACCCCGCTGGTAGGTATGAAACATATTTCTTCGTCAAATGAGCTTAGCTCCAGCATTGCTGTGCGCATGGGAAGGGGGTTAATTGAAAAGCAACATGTGCCTTGCTCCTTGGCTCACGCAAGGCGCTGTCTTCTGGCTGATGCACAGCTACCAGCAATGAGGTTGCTTCCCCTGAAAGATCTCTGCCCTCAATTGCTGGGGAGGCTTGGCTGAGCCCGCCGAGTGCACTGCGGACCCTACCTGGTTAAACACCCTTTGCATTTGCTAAATAAAAGCAATAATAATAATGATAACTAGGAAACTTGGCTAAATAATCCTAAGAGGCTTACCCCAGGCCGTGCCGATTAAGGCTCCCCAGCAGTGCCGATATCCCAGTGAACCCTGGCCCCTACTGCTCCTCCGCGCGAATAATATCTGAGGTTATCTGTGCTCAAACAAACCCTGCTAACAACCATCATTTGACCAGATTT